CTAGTGCAATAAATATCCAGAACAAGATATCATTAGGAGCCATTACGAAGCAATGTTTTGCACTATCTACTGCATATAATGTTCACTGCTTCTTTGCTGATATTGCCAAATGAAGGATCACTCTTAATGATTCATTTTTATCATCATTTTACTGTCACAAGGTTCGTTTAATTCTTTTATACTGCACTTGTTGCTGAAGAATCTCAGTGATGGTTATTACAGTTTGGATCATGGTTTGTTCCCCAAAGTTTCATGTTTTAAAATTTGGCCTTAGTGGGTGGTAATTAGATGTTCCCCCAGAAATTCATGTGTTGGGACTTGATTGTATTTATTGTATTGTAAATGCATTAGGTGAAAATTTAATTTAATTCCTTCGTGATGTCCCAGAGTGAGCCCACCAGGGTTGGGCTTCCATAACTGAGTTATGGTGGATATGTAAGCAGAGAGCATGAGATCAGAAGCAGATAGAAAACCACGTGGATACAGACCACACTCTGCTCAAAGTTCTGCCTTCCACCATGTGTGATGTCCTTGGACTTTTCCAGCCGCCAAAATTGTGAGTTAGTAAACCTATTTACTTATTTACCCAGTCTCAGGTGTTCTTGTTAGCAACACAATCCCAAAGAGAGTGATCTTTTTTTTTTTTGGTTTTTTTGAGAGATTTTCGCTATAGGGCGCGTACACTCGCCAGACAGACAGAGAGAGACATTAGAGACAGAAAGCGAGAAATCACCCCCCAGGGGGGATGGTCACGCCGCAATCCCTTCGCCTCCATTCTCCTCTCAGGATCTTGGGCACACACGCACACGCACCCGGCGTGAGTTTTAAGCCACCGGGTCCGGGACGCGAACCGCGGTCAACTACGTGGGAGTCCAGCGACATAGCCATTACGCTAACTGCTGGTTCCCACCAAAGACAGTGATCTTCAATCTAGTCCTGACTACCAGACTGCCCTGTGTGACCTAGGCTACAGGCACTGCAACAGTTTAAAAATGGGTTCCTTAGAACCCCCATATGAGCTCACATCACACATTTAATGTTCTCTTCCCTCTCTGTGCAACCTACTAAACTGTGAGTTACTTAATAGGAAATATTTCTTTAATTCTCAATATGCCCTGTACCCAGTGTATTGCAGCTACTTCAGTATGTTTGTAGAATAAGTGCTATGCTTAATGATCACAAAACAAAGAGAAATATGACATAGTCCCTATCACTGAAAAGCTTAAAGTCTATTGATTACAAGCATAACAATAGTAATGATGACATCAGCTAACATTGAGTGTCATGTGCTATTGTATTGTCAGAAAAGTCATGACATATTTTTTCTGGTTTTCTATGCAAAATGCGTCATGACTTTTCCAACAACCCAATAGATACTGAACTACATGCTTTGCGTACATTATTCCATGATCTTAACAACCTCCTATCTCCGTGGTATAGACCATAACCTCATTTTACAAATAAGGAAGCTAAAGTTCATGAAGTGAAAGTCAGATCATTGAAAATGGTAGTGTTGGGACCAGCAGGTGGCATAATGGTTATGTTGTTGGACTCCCATGTTGTCAACTGCAGTTCAAGTCCCAGACCTGGCAACTTAAAACTCACACTGGGCACCTGCATTTATGTGCCCAAGATCCCAAGAGGAGCGTGGAGGCGAAGGGACTTTGGCATAGCCATCCACCCTAGGGGGTGATTTCTCACTTTCTGTCTCTCTGTCTCTCTATGTCTCTCCAGTGAGCACACACACCCTATGGCAAAAAATTTTCTCTCAAAAAAAAAAGAGAAAATGGTAGTGTCAGGTTCACATCCAGGTCTTCCTGATTATAATACATGTTCCCAATAACTAAATTAACGTTACTTCTATAAAGGTGAGAGAAGCTGAAATACATTAATGCACAAGGGATGAGCAGGAAGTTCCCATGTCAATCATGTTGACACCAAATCAGATCTTCTATACAGATGTTAGGCTGGTCCAATTTTTCAACTAGTGAGCACTTCTGAGTAACCAAACAGAGGGACACAACAGAGTCTTAGAGATACGTTGATGACACTATCTAGAGGCCTCTGGAAATGCACATAATCCACCTGACACTGGCAAGTACCTATTGTTCTGGTTTCCTCTCTCTCCGGTAGGAATAGGGGCCAAAGTGGAGGAAATGTCTTCGTGGCCTTCCTATTTATGGGATCAAAATGAGCAAGACGTGTGAGCTCTGTCTCTCACAAGTTGTTTTGTTTTCTCCAAATGGAGTCAGGAAATGGAGATCAGGGACTGACTTTGTGAGCACAGTGGAAGCTCTATAAGTTACCCCAAGCAATTGTTTCTGCTGCTCTTTGTTCACCATCCCCCATAGACATCTGCTCAGAAGTCAAAAGAAAAGCAGAACAGGGGAGTGGCTGGCCCACCAGATGGTCAGGCTTGGAGCAAGGAGTTAGAATAGGTCAAGGGTGCTTTGCAGAGGTGAGAAAAACAATGAGACCTCTGGCCAAGTAGGGACGGAGGTCTAGGAGGTTGGTTGAGCTGAGAAGCCCTTTTGCCAAGATAAGGGTGGGATTTCTTTTGCAGAAAAGACCTAAAGAAGGTGCCATGAACCCCTAGGACTAGAACTATGCATGCAAGTAGGCCTTCGAAGGGTGTTGGTGCTCAACAATCAAATCACACCCACACGTCGCCTATGTCTATTCAACTTTGATTGTGTACAGTGGGTATAGACGTGCTGTGTGCGTGCACTAGCAAGATGATGGGAAACCTGGAAAGCAGCTTGCCCACTGGGACTCTTCTGTGGGACATAGCTAAGTAAATAGGCAACTGTGATACAGTGTGAGAGACCCCAGAAGGGCAAGCTGAGGGTGCTCGAAGATACTTACCCCAGTCCTCCTGGGAGGGGGTAGAAAGTGAGCTTATGTAGGCTTCAGAAAGCCCGGTAAGAACTAAAAAAATGAATAAGATTCACTCGGATAAAGTATGACAATAAGAGAAAGGTATCAGAGGAAACTTTGGGAAGCGAAAAAGAAGTATGGCTCAATATCAGGAGGTAAGGCCCAGCCAAGATAGCACATGCGGGAGGGGCGCTGCTGCAAGGTGCTGGCAGTCCTGTGGGAAGCACTGAGTAAACCCCCAGGTCCACCTGAGCATGCTGGGCGTGCCATGGCCCCGGTTGGCTACAGGGCTACAGAGAAGATCTCAGTGTGAGACCCAGTTAAGGGTGTTCTTGCTATCACTCTCATTCTCCCAGGAAATAAATAAACTTCTTTTAAAAATCAGGAAGTAAGGGAGAGCATGGCATTTCTAGGAACTGCAAGAAACTGGGCCCAATTTGTGCTCAGAGAGAGAAGTGGGAAGTGGCAAGAGATGGCATTGTGCCAGCCACCCTCAGAGTTTGGACTCCATCCTGAAGCCAGGAAAAGTTCCATCCAAGGGAGGAAATGATCAGGATCTATTATGGGCTGTCTTGGGTGTTTAGTGCCACAACTGCCAATCATAAAAAAAGATTCCTGTTCCTCAAAAACACCCGATCCATGAAAACAGGGTCTTAGTGTCCTGATGTGACTAAATCCCTCATCCCTCACAGGCCGAGAAGATGCCTTTGGACTTCAGAGCAGGTCAAAAATCATGTCATGTTTCCACCCTAATTCTAGTCCAGTGGGCTCAACCTTCCTGGTAACAAAAATTAGCTGGGAAGTTTTCAAAGAAATGCCAGTGCCCCAGGCACCCTCCCTCAGAGATTCCAATTCAATTGTCTGGGCACTGGTGTTTTTTAACACTCCTTGGGGGATCCCCTGGACAGCCAGAGTCAAGAAACACTGTAGAGTGTGCACCTTAGCAGCGGGACCTCTTGAGACGGGAATGGATTCCCCTTGCCAGGTAATCTGCGGAGTAGATTCTGGGTCAACTTTTCAAACCTGCCTGGCAGATGATCAAAAGCAGCCCATGGTAACAGCTGAAACCTCTTGGTTTTCTCCCCATACCCACTCTCTCTTTTATAGGTAGGCACCAAAGGACCCAGTTCTAAAGCCAGGAGAAGGGAGCTGCTGGGCTCGCCCCCAGTGCCTGGCACTGAGGGAATCGGCTCACTCCTGAGCCACCTTGTCTGTGCCACACTAAGAAGCTTGTCGAGCACTTTCCCCCTGCATTTACCCAGAAACTCCAAGCAGACCTCATTAGCACGTTACTCAAGCTCTCCCAGTCCCACACCCACCTTCCTCCTCACCCCCCTGCCTCTGGATTTGTTTTCCTATCTGCCCATTTATTCACTGCAGTTGGGCTTTGTTGCCTGTGCTCGAAAAAGCACATTTTTGGAATGGCAATGCTGGTGGAAGGAAGGGGATGGCTATGGGCTCTGTGGTCCTGGTCCATCACCCCTCATTGCCCTCCTGGTGAAATACCATCCATCAGGCCGCCCGGTGACAAGCCCTCTAAATACTTCCCAAGGCACTGCCTCCGTGTTGTTCCTTGCATGTTGAGACAGCAAATCGTTAGCTCAGAGCCCCTGGGTTGTTTCTTGCAGCAATTAACAGCTGCCCTGGTGTTAATTCCCAATCAATAGCCCCTCCAGACTGCTGCTCCTACAGCTGTGGGCTGATGGCCTCCACAGCACATTTTGAAAGTACCTTGCCTGGCGGTGAGACTGCTCCTTGCCTGCTCCCCAGGAAAGCCTTTACCATGTTTCCAAAGGAACACCCAGCCCCCCACCTCACAACTCCCAGCTAGTGTCGGGGTCCCAGAGCTGAGCAAGAAGGGAGCTCCATCTTCCTGTTCCAGTCAGATGACAACTCAGGACGGCAGGCAGAATAGATTCCCCTCTGGAGTAGCAATGTTTCGGGAATATTCATGAAGCTTTCATTTTTCTACTTTGGCTTCTTTTTTTTTTCTTTTGAAACTTTTCTCTGTTTGTTTTCAAATGGCTGTATTTTTCTTCCATCTAAAACCTTCATCCAAATCCACCTCTTTTTTAAATTGATAGCCCCAATTTCTCATTTCTGGCCTGTGTTGCTTCCTCCAGCTCCCTGTGGACAGAATGAAACCCGAGAAGATGGTAAAATAATCCAGCTGCCTCCATGCAAGACAGGAGCCTGGATTGTGCCGGCCATCATGGCCTGCTACCTCCTCGTGGCCAACATTCTGCTGGTCAACCTCCTCATTGCCGTCTTTAAGTGAGTGACTCCCTCTTCAAAGCACTTGGGGTGGGCAGGACAGAGGGGATGGAAGGTGGTGCTGCTTCAGAAACCTGGATTTTCTCCCTTGATTCTCCTGGGTCTCTATTTCAGCAATACCTTTTTTGAGGTGAAATCAATATCCAACCAAGTATGGAAGTTCCAGAGGTATCAGCTCATCATGACGTTCCATGAAAGGCCGGTCCTGCCCCCGCCTCTCATCATTTTCAGCCACATGACCATGATATTCCAGCACCTGTGCTGCCGGTGGAGGAAACACGAGAGTGACCCGGATGAAAGAGACTACGGCCTGAGTAAGCTGCAAACACTGGCCCAGCAACCCCCGAACTAGAAATCCCTACCCCTGGGGCCAGCAGGTAGCATGCCAGTTAAGGCGCTGGACTCTCACATGGCTGATAGTGGTTGGAGTCCCGGACCTGGTAGCTTGAAACTCATGCTGGGTCATGTGTGTGCATGCCTAAAATCCCAGAAGGGATTGCAGTATGGCCGTTCCACCTGGAGGTGATTTCTCACTTTCCCTCTCACTGTCTCTCTGGCAAGCTCACACACCCTATCGCAAAAACCTTAACAAAACAAAACAAAAAACCCTACCCCTTCCTGTGGTCAATCACATAGGATCACATGCCTACCCAGTTCCTCCTGCCTCTCTCACTCTAACCCTAGTTTCTAAACCAGTGAAGAGTTCAAATTCCCATAGCAGACTGCTCTGAAGGTGTGGAAGGGTATGGGAGGGCCTTCATACATGAAAAACAGTTTTGAAAAAAGACAGGAGAGGCTGAAATCAAGCATTCTTAGCCTCATGTCTTTGTGTGCCCTCACCAGAGAGTCAGAGAGAGAGAAAAACAGCACTCCCCAATGAAGTATGATCACACCTCAATCCCCTTCTTCTCCATTTCTCCATGCTGTAGGATTTTGGGCACATGCTTTTCAAGTCACTGGGATCAGGATTCAAACCACAGTGGGCTACTGGGATCTAGCTCCCTTAATCACTAGGCTACAGGGTCAGCCCAGCCTAATGTCTTTCTATGTGAGGTAAAACCAGTCTCCAGAAAAGCTGTTTATGGCCTTCATAAATTCCGAGTTTCTTACTTTCCAGCGATCTCACCACAAAATGTATCAACCATATTCATATGCACCCAATAATACAATACACACAATTAAGCTTCATTACATTAGTTGAATTGCAGGTAACTATATTTAATTTTCCACTATCATTTTGGGACCTATAACTTTTTCAAGTCTTACACATTTCCTAAGCCTTAGGGTTTCTACCTATATGATCTTTTGAGGAGACAGGCCCTACTTTCCATTCTTCAAAGGTCAAATATGAAACCCTCCACTACCCACTCTCTAGCCCAGTGTTCCCTATTGGCTTTGGGAAGATCCTACACATGCTTAATGTGTAGGGTTGTTGCACACATTGCAGGAGATCTGTATATCCCAACTCCACACAGTAACACCTGCATCTCCTGCCATTTCCTAAATGCCCTTAGACATCACCTTCACTTAAGGACCATTAAGAATTCAGCCCCACACAAACAAGTTATTATGGTATCCTAAAGTCTGTCAAATAGAGGCCAGCAGGTGGCATGGTGGTTAAGCTGCTGGACTCCCACATGGTCAACCATGGTTTGAGTCCCAGAACCAACAGCTTAAAATTCACGCCAGGCAGCTGGACATATGTGCATATGTACATGCCCAAAATCCCGAGGAGAATAGAGAAGAAGGGTCACGGCATGAACATCCCCCCTTGGGGTGGGGGGGCATGATTCGTCACTTTCTCTCTCTTTCTTCTATAGAAAAAAAAATCTCTCTTGAAAACAAAAAAAGTATTCCAAATAAACCACCTGCATTTAATCCACAAAAGAACCTCTGGAATTGTGAACCAGTAACCTACCTCTCTCCTTAAGATACCAGTATATTTAAGGCTTGAAACCAAAATCATTTAATCACTTATTTCTTTAGTCTGGGGTTCTCAAGAATCTCCTTGGTATAGCAATGTCCAGCCTTGTTCTAGTCATTAAAACCAGAGAGTTGGAGAGAGCTGGGAATTCCAAAATTTCCTATTTTCATCTGGAATACAAATTTAAGTAAATGGAAAGCTTAGGGAGGAAAAAGAATGACCTATGAGAGGCCAGTAGATGGTAGGGTGGCTAAGGTGTCAACAATGGTTCAAGTCCTGGACCCAGAGGCTTAAAAATCTCACCGGGGGAACAGCAGATGGTGTAATGGTTATGGTGCTGGATTCCCACATGGTCGAGCATGGTTCAAGTCCCAGACCTGGTGGCTTAAAACTCATGCCAGGCACGTGTGCGTGTGTGCCCAAGATCCCAAGAGGAGAATGGAGGAGAAGGATTGTGACATGGCCATCCCTCCAGGGGGACAACTCTCGCTTTCTATCTCTCTGTCGATCACGTGCACCCTATAGCAAAAACTCTAAAATAATAATAATAATAATAACAATAAATAAATCACACCAAGCAGAGGCTGGCAGATAGTGGTTAAGGCATTGGACCCCTACATGGCCAACTGTGGTTTAAGTCCCAGACCTGGTGTCATGCTTTCTCAGTTTTCCTCTCTGACTTTGTCTCACTACAGTCAAATTTTAAAATAATAATAAATAAAATGAAATTAACAATTCTTTTTTTTTAAAAAAAAAAAAAAAAAAGAGAAAAAGAAAAAGATCACTGGGCACATGTGTGTGCCTTCCAAAAACCCTGAGATAATGGAGAAGTGATTTCTCTCTCTTACTCTCTCTCTCACATGCACACAAGTGTACAAGCATACATGCCCTATGGGGGAAAAAAAAACGATGACCAGACTGCTCTACTCAAGGAACTTGATCAGCACGGAGCACCATGACCTGCCAAATTAGGGACAGGGGAATGCTATTAATGAATTAGGCTCCATAGTAGATACCGTGCTGAGGTTAACTCAGGGCCCCAGAGTCATTTACAATAAGCATGACTCATTTGTGGCAGGAGAGCCTCACTGATCCAGGGAGTTTAGGAAGGAGTGTGTCTAGAAATACATCCCAGGAAGTGGGGCAGAGACCCAGTTCCACTTCACTGCCCACACCTTACAGAAGGCCAGAGAACCTGGTCAAGTCAGACTCTGGGCTACATGGAAGGTAGCTCCAGAAAACTCTAGTCCATGGTTTGCTTATTGTTATCACTAATGATAGCAACAAAAACATCACCAGATCACTGGACACATGGAAAGAAGGAGCACAGTGTCTCCTTTCTCAGAGGAGGAAGATTTCTGAGCTGTGGCTGGGTCCAAAAGGGTGACGGGCAGAGACAAGAGCCCTGTTGTGTTAATCAATCAGGAGAAAGCGAGCTTCTCACCATCACTCTGTCGCCTTAATTAAAAGAACCCAGGGCACTACCAAGTTCTTTCGAGCCTCAGATAAAAGCACTAGGAAGTGTGAAATTTAATATTTATTGTTAAATTTGACATGTTGATTTTTTAAATAGTATTTTATTTAAAGAGAGAGAGAGAGAAAGCATGATATATAGCCAAAGAAGTCAAATAAGGCACTACAGAAGATGTGCCATATACATACAAGTAAGCCCTAAGTATACTCCTTTGGGTCTCGAATACAGCAAGAGCCGGAAGAGTCTGTACTTTGAAGGCCTCTATAAATGGCCTTTCTTGGGACAAGCAGTTAGCATAATGGCTACGTGGCTGGACTCCCATGTAGTTGACTGCGGTTTGGGTCCCGGACCCAGTGGCTTAAAACTCACGCCAGGCACTTGTGCTTGCATGCCCAAGATCCCGAGAGGAGAATGGAGGAGAAGGGATTGCGGCATGGCCATTGCCCCTGGGGGGTGATTTCTCACTTTCTGTCTGTCTCTCTCTGTCTGGCAAGCATACACACCCTATAGCAAAAACCTCTTAAAAAAAAAAAAAAGCCTACATCACAGGAGCCATGGAGCTGTCTCTGGATGAAGGCCTGTTCCATTCCTTTCCACCTCTCCAGCCGAGTATTGTATGCTGGATGCCGAATTATCAGGTG